GCGACGATCAAGGTCCGGGTGATGAAGTCAGGTGTGTGGAGCATTTGTGGTAGACGGCCATCTGTAAGTTGACCAATTTTGCTAGACAACGCCGCGAAACACAGGTAAAACTACCTCACGACTGCAACACTCCGGAGAGCCACGCTGACTTGTTCGGTGTGTCAGGCGCGCTCCCTCCGGTTTCGAGTTTCGTTCTACGTTCAGCCTGAAGGCCATGGCGAAAAAAAGGATCCGCAATGGGCGAACCGCCCGCACGATTCATACCCCCGTAAATAATAGTAAAGGAGCATGTGCCGTGGGGAGGGGGAGGGGCGAGGGGGCGGGTCCGGTCGGTGGTTTGACAGAAAATGGTGGCAAAGAGCATGTCGCCCTAACTCATTTCGCAAGGCGTGCGCAAATCCCTATCACGTGACCATTTCTACAATCCGTAAGTTTTTGCTATTCGTCGTAACGAAAAGCAACTTTGACCAAGCTTTAACCGTTCGGTTGAAGGTCCGCAGCAATTGATTTTACCACAAATCTTTTCGGCATTAATCTGCTTGCGGTCTTACAACTGGTCCGTTAGAAGAAAATGTTTTGATGACGTGGCTGCATCAAGATCTTCAAGTATTTTAAGACGATCGGTTTTTCAGTCTATTTTCTACGCAATGATTCAATTGATTCCTAACATTTCCATCTCGAGGTGAACGAAAATGATCTTTGAACTCATCAGCCGTTTAAACTGATCGAGTCAGCAGTTTTATACACATGAGGATGGAAAACATCTTCCATCGTGCTGCATGTCCACCTCAGTGTCAGTTTCGAAACACCTCAACAGGAGGAGCTGCGCGGTTACAAAGGACAGCAGAATCTTCCGCCAATTCGCACTCTGAGCCGTTGTACAGCATGGCGTAACTTTTCTCTTTACATACAGAAAAAAACGCTGTCATTCGTGAAAACGACAAATTACCACCCGCGGTAGAATTATACTGTATGAAAGTACGGTATTGACAAAAACATTCTCTTGTTGCGAGACACTGACACTAACGAAAAGGAGGAAGAATTGCCAGATGTACAGCGGCTGGCTAGAGAAACAAGGACGCCAGGAATATCTATCGGGTACAAGCCGCGCAATGAAGGAATAAGAAGAAGCACAGAAACACAGGATACTGTATCGGTTTTACAAAAGCAACAGAAATCGACAATGGATAGGTCCCATAGCGCGACTACCGAGTGACGGGTAGAGTTCAATTTCAGCGGTGACGGGGGATTGGTACCGGAGGGTTTACCGCCGGTCAACTGGAAGACGTTGGCGCGAATAAGGTGACGAACTAAACGGCAGCTGTGGGAGCTAGTGGCGACAGATCGCACAACAGACGAACATGGACATGGGAGCATGGCGGTGGTGGTTCCCGTTAATTACGAAGTAGGATCAGTCAATTGTCGTTGTTGCGCGACTTCACTCAGCATGTGTTATATTCTGTGATGTATGTATTTGCCAGTAACCTCATGCGACATTTCATCAATCATATTTTTTACTGTATTGAATGCATTCTGTGTTACTCAGATTTCATTTACCTTTTTGCTTCTCCTATACCAAAACTTGAATTGAATTTACTGGTGATCTGCGACGCTGATCCTTGAAACTTGTCAGAATTGTCCCTCTACCGAACAACAAGTCCAATTCAGCGAACGTCAGCGACTTTCATCCTACAGCCACTTCCTCCATACTTTCAGCCATTGAACGTTTTATCCACCCTCATCTGAAGACACTAATATTTCCACTTCTAGATTCCTCCCAAAACTCATACACGAAAGACTTAAGCACATTAGGTGCAGTTTCTGTTTCGCTAATCATATCACACAATACTTAGACCAGAAGAAAAGTTCAGTTCATAAACATTTTTATGTTATATGATATCGCAACAAAACCTTTTCAATAAATTTGCTATAAATTAGACGAAAGCATACTTCACATGGCTATGCGACTATTTTACCAACAGAAAACAACTTTTGACCATTGGATCTCATTGGTCTAATCCTCAAATCAATCACTCAGATGTGTAACCTGCTCAGCCTCGTTAGAAATTCGTCCGATATGTTGCTGCGTCTCAATGCTGAAAAGTGTTAGATATGTGATTTAAATAAGAACAAAAAAATTCTTCACTTCCTGTACATATGTGACGTTCCTTCCAAAACTGATAGTCTAAAAGTTTAACGTGCAAAACTCTACATAACATCTTGGGGTCACTCCATGTTGAGACTTGTCTAGGACTGTTAACAAGTAAAACCAGTTGCTGACAAAAGGCGAAAGAACGGGTATCGTCTTATTCGTCTGAGGCAAGTCGGGATCGGGACTCCAGAATCCGTTCTGCACCTTTTCATCAAATCGCGTATTCTTCCTTTTTTTGCCTATGCTTACCTCATCTTCTTTTGTGAACTTCTCAAAACCTATCATTGCATTCTGTGCCGATCTGTCAAACTGACAACACGTCACACGGCTGCTTCGATTTCGAGGTTCTCGTCAAAGAACTTGCACCCGTCGCATTCTGAAAGCTCTTCTACAGTAGGACACCGGTATTCTCTCTAACGGCAACCATCCGCTTTATCCGCTTTGTCATCCTGCATATCCCTGCAAGAGAAAAAACATTCGACACATTGTCAAATGTAACTGACACGAAATTCATTCACTCCTGCCTTGGATCGTATCACGAAGTCTCGCTTGCTGACAGACAGTGTAAACAGCTACTTATTACTATTATCTATTATTACTATTACTTATTACTTATTCTGCCTATCGCTTAATTTTTATTTACGCGTTTCACGTCATGCTTAGTTATTCCTTCGTGCTGAAAGACATAGCCATGTTCTGCTTGTAAGATAAGTAGTAAAATGGCGAAATAATAGAATCATAGTGAAACAGCAGTTGCAGCGAAATGCCACTCGATCAGGAAAATATTCATTCATTCATTCATTTGGATTGCGACAATCCATTATCAGCATTGTCAGCAATTATTCACTAATGATAATTACTTGCTACTGAAAAATGCTAGTAATTACCGATCATATTTAACTTAGCTGAGCCTGCTACTATTCTTATCGATGAACTGATCTTCAAATGACGGCGTTTAGTCTGTCGGCGCTGATCGAGACTGCTTATTTCAAGTTGTTTATGGCCGAAACGAACGTCACGCCTTCGTTCACTTCAGCCGCCCCCACTTCTCGTCATGGCCTACATCTATGGTCGACAGTGATCGGTGGAATCTGCCGTCGGACGAGTCTAAGCATATTACAACGGTTTAGGTTGGCGACCGGTGACCGAACAGCAAAACAAACTATTCAAGCGACAGCAGCGATATGACGCGGTCAGTGGACGGCTCGGCACACCCTTCAGCGTTCGCATGAGGCTGATGACAAGGCGGTAGCTCTGACGGATTTGCTGCACTTTTCACTCATTTCAAGAGTCCCCGCCTCGACAGCACTCACCAACTAACTTGCTTGCGAAGCACGAACCGGCCTGGAAAACTCTGACGTCGAAACCAATGCGGAAGCGACCTAAGCGCCGAAATCCCTGCCGTTGACGGTCCCAAGCCAGGGTGATAAAAAAATGAGGGTTCGGGACGGTGACGAGGTTTCTCGTAGAGCTTAGCCACTTAGTCCTCACGGCATTGCCGCACAGGCTGTTGGGGCAAGGAGGCAGACTGCGTAAAGTAGGTGAACCAAACCTGCTTCTTGCCTTTTGGCAACGAAGGCGAGCAAGAGCATGGCGACGGCTGCCGAAGTTCAACAAGGAGACAGAAACGAAGA